GGGCACCGCTCGGTGCGTCCCCTGAAATGAGGCCTTAGTGAAAAATAATTTTTCCTCTGTTGCTGTAACCGGAGGCTTTGGTGGATTTTCAGCCATTTCGATTTATATATCCATTCTGTCGAAAAATGTTTTGTTAAATATTAAGCTCTTCTTCAATGCCATCGGTAGAGCAGATCCTTTTCGACCTTTGTGGCAAATTACGCTTGGCTTTTAGCGGTATGAAACTCACAAAATGGATATATTGTACGGACCACGTCTTCTATACCGAATACTCCCGTCAGACCTACTCAGAAACGCGTCCAGAAAAGGAAGCGATTCACTGTTCGGCTTCTAGTTCAAATTTGATTGACGGGTGCGACTGATTTCCTGGCGGCCAGTACTCCTCAACGCTGATCAGATTAATGCCCCCAACCCCGACAACCGCACGATTTTTTATACCAACCCGCATAGTTTACTTAACGACATAAATGTAAATACCTGAAGGAGTTATCTAAAGTAAACGTTTACTCGCCAAATTATCTTTTGAACGTTGCAGTTGCTGAAGAACTCACCAGATTTCTTCCCAGTGCGACTAGAACGACTTTCTTTGAAACTGCAGGCCTATTAACATGGACACGAAAGAGACTGGCCCTGACACTATGGTCTCCCCGACTTCGCCTTTGCGTGCCTCAAAATCAAAACTTCCATTGCGTCTTATTTCTACATTGTGAACAAATACAAATGCTAACGTCTGAACGTCACGACTGAATTATGTACGTGAGTCGAAAATCGCCTTTAAACCAGAAGCTTCAGTCGGGTACATTACCTGAATTAGGTGTAGAAGCGAGGACCATATGTGTAATGTAGGCCCATTAATTCTTCATAACTGTTTACAGGGTAGGACGCAGATTTTGCACTACGGCATCCACAGCGACTTATGCATATGTACATCGACCGGTGGGCTAGGTGCCAAGTATGCGAGCTATCATCCTTGGATTTAAAATATACTGCTCACTGTCCACACCATTAATATGGCGTCAGAGAATAATTATGCGAGGTTGCTACTACAGGGAAGCAATAACGCTGGGTTGAAGATTCGGTAAATCCAAAAGATGAACCGAAGCGATCAGCGGCTTTATGTCACCAAGTCGACGATAGGATGGAGCCAGGTTGGCGAACTTGCCTACAGAACGTTCTTCTGCCGTCTTTGATGTCTATGATCATGTTATTTGTTTGTAACTACTCGGGATTCGATATGTGGTGCCTGCAACTTTGAGTTTGAAAAGCAAAAATTCAAGTTCTAGACAGCAGGTGGGAAGAAGATGCGAGTGTTGGGACATGATATCTACTTGTCTGACGCTGCAGACTCCTACTCGAACAGGTCTGTGACTGTTTCTGGTGATGGGTTCGAGGAATCCAAAAAAATAGGCGAATACGTATCTCTTTTCTAGAAATCGCATCTTCTTCTACATTTCAAGGCGATCGGATGCGCCTACTGCCGACTACTAAATGAAGGATAATAGCTACATTCCGAAAATCTACAAGTTCATCAGGCTAGCCCTACCAATCTTATGGTGATCCATTTATAATATTGACGTATGTAGTAAAACGGAGCTTAGAAAATATTTCGAGACAATTCTATAACAGAACGGTGGTCACTGGGGGGGAGGAGCTAGTCCCAAATTGCAGTGCGAGGGTCCTACTAATTAGTACCGCTTGATACATTGGAGGCCCGTCAAAATAATTACAGTGAGCTTAGATACTCTTCGGTACAAAAACTCCTCAGAGAGAATACATCGATAATTCTCCCGTCGCCCATGGCCTCAAGCTGTTTAAAAGTCCACAAACTGCAGGTCACCACAGCCGAAAGAATACAATTTGTATATAAAAAGGCTAGCGCCTACCTGGTCCTTCAGTGGGCCAACGTGATCGCACACATGCTTCAGGTGTTCCTCAATTTCTGCTTCAGTCGCATTATCACTGATCTGATTGTAAACATACTGTATAACCATCTGACAAAGTTCGCAGGTGTCACCAAGGCGGAGAGGTAGGGGCTAAAACGGGAAGTGTTTTAGGTAAAATTTCAAACTCGATAGCACAAGCAGACACACTATTATACGGTCTGTAGCATTGGTCTATAAGACGGCATGTGCTTTCATAAAAACCTGTGGTAAAACGCCTCCAACTATACCACACTGTCACATCTCTCCTCACTAGCACCTGCACCATGCATGGTCACGTACATCACACACCACACGCTTACAACCAGCACCTTTCATCTTAGCCCCTTCTTCATGTGGCTCCTCCGCTGCATGCGTGATCGGAGCCTAAAACTATTACAGTTTACTAAAAACTGTGGCTTGTAAGGCTGTCAACTGACGCTTTATAGTAGACCATGCCATCAGCCCAGTGTACACTGTGTGTTGGGTGGTTGATCAGTGGAGCGGGAGTCAGACGGTGACGGCTACTTCTTACCCCCTGGTTTTTGGAATACTGGTGTGTGCGTCAAGGGGACCAGGTCGTTCTGTGTCGCGCGCGGACGGGTTCGCCGACCCTGTCAGCTACTGAGCTCACCCCGCATCAGGCAACTTACCGGTTCGGACGGTGGTCTGATGCTGCGGGTGAGGAAGAGAAAGAGGTCGACGGCTCAGCGCACTTTCCT